CTATAACCGTGGCAAGAGCAAACTACTCTGCCATCTGTCATTTTCTCTCAATTATGGGTTCCTTTCCTGCTCTAAGGCTCTCTCCGAGCACTGATTGTCATCAGTTCTGCATGTGGCCTAAGTGTTTCTAGGAGACAAGCAACTCAAACCTTTCAAATTGAAGATCGAGATGTTCCCAGAATCAATACCAGTGTCTGAGCGCCAAATTTTAAGGTTGGTAAAAAAAAAAAAAAAAAAAAAAAAAGAAAAAGTAACTCAAGTCTTTCATGACAGGATTACAAGCTACATACTCAGGTCTGGCTTCAAATTTCAGGTGCTTGAGCTCTGAGTCACAGGGTCCATCTTAAATTTATTATGGGACCTAGAGCAGAATGAAACTGGAGATGAATGATAGTTACATGGGCAGCGTAATGGGTATGACCCTGTGCATATCTTGGCTATCTGCCACTTGACCCCATGTTGGGAGTGAGAGTGGGAACAGGAAACCCACGGCGCTCACAGGAACTTTGGTGAAACAGAAATTGCATCACCCGTGTTCAATGGCTGCTAGGATTTGTGTAACACTCCAGAGAAACCATAAATAAATTCCACTTATGAAGAGGAAGAAGAATCTAGAACAAAAGAAAATAGACCATTAGGAGATTTTTCTTTCCCTGATACAATATACCTTTCTGGTAGTTGCCAGGTCCATTATCAAAACCTCAGCTAATGGTTGGTGGCTCATAGTTTCAGTGTCTTGCACTCCTAACGAGCACCTTCCACTCTATTCTGCTGAGGGAAGATACTGGCTTTGGCGAAGCAGGTGTGAAAATAAAACAAGAAGGTCATGCTATTCTCAGAGAGGAAGAGCTGCTTCACCACAACCTCTCACCGCACCAACTGAGGTGGCAAAAGAACTCTTCTCACACAGCAGTGTTCTCAGAACGCCCATCAATCATTTGTTTATGTTTCTTCCAACAGATTTCACCCGTCATCTGTTTTACAAGACATAATTTTAGAGGATTCATTTAGTGAGCTTTTTTATGAGAAAAAAAGAACTGGCTATCTCCATCAAGGTTATATAGTTTCCACATCAGCGACCTGGAAGAGTAGGATCATGCTTAGAGACATTGGTTTTCAAAAAGATCAATTATATGAAGATAACATTATATGACAACCTATCAGATCCTTGGCCCCTTTGTTTTTCCTTGAATCATAAGCATTTCTGAAATGTAAAACTTTGCTGCTTCTTTCAACAAGCTCTTGATTTAAAAGAACAGCCTATAATTTCCAAGAAAGCCATTCTATGGACTGAACTGAGAAATTGGAACTGCCATGATTCTCTATGCCCCAGAGAGTTGTGTATAAATCCAAAAGGGTATAGCGCTCAGAGGTGTTAGTAGAATTTCATGAAAGGGGAGCAGAAAGGCACCCACACACCAGCCAAAAATGCATTTGGTTAATTTCATCTCTCCACTTGATTAAACATCAGCAGAACAAATTCCATCTGTTGGGTGCCTAAAGAGGCTTGAATCATTACCTGCTTGTACTCTTGTGGCTCAGTGAGGCAATCCACACTGGCCAAGAGAAGTGAAAGGCAGACACAATGGTCTGCTTCCAAGAACAGAAGAGTATTTTCCTGACATTGTCTTGATAGATTGTCTACATTCAACAAATTTACTACATGCTCTGCAACACACTGCCATATAAAGGGCTGCAACTGTCTTGGCTTCAGTGCCTATGTTTCCTCTCTGATATCTTAGCTCTGGGCTATTAGTTTGGTTTGAAAGCCAGTGGTTTTATTTACATTCATTCTAGCTCCTTCCTCTATCCCCACAGCCTAGAATAGAACAGGGCACATAGCAGTGACTCAATACATATTTACCAGTGGGATGTATTCAATCTAACACTGTGATGTGACAAAGCCAATCTACAGCCTACTTGGGGGGGGAGGGCAGCTCTGCCTTAGAAAGCTGCTACTAGGGTATGAAGTGTTACTCAATGCTGCCACCAAACCAACAGCCATACATCAGCCTCCAGGGTGCCATTTGGGTCTGGGAAGAAAAATTCTATCAAGGTTTGAATGTCTATGAATGTCAGAAAATTAGCCGTGCAGAATGACAGGAGGAATTCTGCCCTAGACTACGACACCAACGTTTCTTGAATTACTCACCTGTGCTTCTGAAGGGAACTCAGGCAGGATGTGAACCAGCCCTTGAAGAGAGGCTGAGTTAGGGTCACCCCTCCCTTCCTCCCTAGGGTTGCCTTTAGGGGGAGCTAGAATCCAGATACAGTACTGATATTGGCGGCTTATTCTGAGCAATTACGGTTCTCAGAATATTCACATACACTGTTTCTGTTTCAGGAGAAGCTACTAAATTCACCCTCTTATCTTTGGCTTGTATGTTTACTTGCTCTCTGGGGTTCAGACCCAACAGGTAAGGTGCTCCTACGGGTTATTTTGGAGATTTTTTTATCGTGTTTTATCTTCTGACCTCGGTACTTACTTTTTAATTTGCAAATGGAGTAAAATTTAAATTGTGAAAGTCAAATAAACAAAAACTACATCCAGAAAAGTATTAGCAAATGATTTTTCTTAAATGACTCTTCTCTGTTCCTCCCACTGCTACCAGAAGGAATAGAGTTAAATAATGAGTTAAATTTATAATACAGTTAAATTTATAATAATCGAGTTAAATTTCTGACTAGGCCAGAAATCACAGAGAAGCCTCAAAATAGGAGTGGAGTGATCCTTGATGATCAACTTGCTAGATCTTGTTTACAGGGGTGGAGGGAGGAGGGGGGTAGGGGAGAGGCCCTTGGGGGAATCCTCACTTTTGGGCCCACAACCTGACCTGCTAGAAGAGAGATAACTGAATGTGACCAAACAGACTGTGAGGCACGTGTTATCTAAAATCTGAGAGAATGGCCTGTGCCCCATTTAGACAGGAAGTAAAAATATGACTGGGGGAGACGAAGCTGATAGCTATGACCTAGTCCTTGTTCAGAATCACATGCTAACTCTATGTCCCCAGTTAAGCAGAGGTATGAGTCATTCCTAGAATCAAAGACACAGATCTATCTAGAGCAGTAGGCTTGAAACTGCCCATGGCCAGGAAACCAGGAACCTCTCCTTAGCCACGACTGGCAAAGTACAGGTTACAGAAAACATGGATATTTTTCTGATACAGCCCATCACAATTTCTACTGGATTTCTGCCTCATTTCTACATATTTCTTCATAATACTTGGCATCTTTCAGCCTTCCAATCTTTATATAAGCCTAGAAAATAAGTCCAGTGGAAAACCAAACTTGTGTAATTAATTTCTGAAAAACTAGCTTCCCAAAATTTGGGGGTGCTCCCATCCTCAAGAAAAAGGTCACTTTTCCAGTCTGTCATCAGAGTCTGTGGGAGTTTGGCTTCTTGACAACAAGCAAACTGCCATGATTCTCATCTGGAAACACCTGCTCTAAACACAAATTTTAAATCAAAGTATATCTTGATCTAGACTTCCAAGTCTGTGAGATAAAAGTAAACAAGTGAATTAGTACAAAATATGGCAAGTGTGCTTGAACCTAATTCTAGAGCCACTTAAATACATGGGATCTTAACTATTATCCCAATGCATGCCCCCAAGCCAGGGGATGAGTACAGCCAGGGACAGAGGAGACAAAAAAGGATGGCCCTGATAACAAGGCAGGTGGTTATTACCTCCAGCATCATAGCCAAAGGGCTGACCACTGTGTTTTTATCTCTGACCCCAAACACAGAACACATAGAAGGAGAGTGATAGTTTCAACATCTATTTCCTAACAGCTGAAGCTGCCTTTGCTTCGAAGTCTTTCATGGGGAGATTCTTGCACATTGACGATATAAAGCCAAAGCTTAGAGCTGGAAGGAGAATACTTTGGGCCATAAAGTGTCAAGATGGAACACACTCTTTGGAGTAGGCCTGTGACCCTTGTCTATGTCATACCCCACCCTCTTGTGATGGTGGGAATGTCAACATCATTGGCCCATGGCAGGCCCATGGTGAACATTCCACCGGACAAAGGTTTGATGATACAATCTGCTCACTCACTAAACAAGAGGTCCCCCATAAAATCTGAGAGCACAGCCCAGCCTCAAATTTTAACCACAGGGATGGTCCTAGCTCTACTGCTCAAGGAAATGGCCTCCCATCTCACAGAAGCTTTAGATGACCCAAAAATGTCATTCTAATCTATTCACCACACCAAGGCTTCCCTAAACCACAGGCAGAGAAACTCAAGATTCAGGTATAAAAATTGAGGCTAATGTGTGTTCTCTTCTGGTACCCAATTTGTAACTGAAGCTCTTAAAGTCAGGGGGGTGCCTGGGTGGCTCAGTCAGTTAGACATCTGACTCTTGGTTTCAGCTCAGGTCATGATCTCACAGTTCATGAGTTTGAGCCCCTCATCTGTCTCCTCTGCAATGATAGCATGGAGTCTGCTTGGGATTGTCTCTCTGTCCCTGTCTCTCTCTGCCCCTCCCCCATTCATGTGCGCTTGTGAGCTCTCTCTCTCTCCCTCTCTCTGTCTCTCTCTTGCCAAATAAATAAATAAACTTAAAGAAAATTTACAGTCAGTCATAAAAACAGATGAATTCTCACACCTAGAAATAAACCATCTAAAAGGATGTGGAGAAAGACTGTGGGTGTGTGGGTGGGAATTATAATTAAAATACTCAAACTTTTATTAGTGGCCAAGGAAGGCACCTAATGTTTATTAGACACATGTATGTATCCTAGAGCCTGGCTCTAAGAGCTTTCCAAATCTTATTTTAATTAATTCCTATATTAGAGCTAAGGAAACAGCTTCAGAGAAGTTAAGTCACAGTTAACTACATAGTGTCATGCCTGCCCTAGAAAATACAATGTGTGTTGATAGGGAAGAATCACTGGGATGAACATGAAATCAAATGTGATCCTGCTTTGGGGCTGATGTTTAATCATTTGGAGCCATGTGGCTGCACCCAATGCCCTGGTCCCCAGATCCTACATTTAGAGCTTCCAGGCAGTTCTCATCATGATGATGAAATACACATCAGTGTCAATGGATGCGCTCACCCCTGCATAGTAGTTCATAAACTCCTCGGGGGTCACCTGCAGTGGAAAAGTCAGAAACAAAAACATAACTTTGCTTCCCACCACTTCAATGGAAGCATATTTCTAGTACCTGTAAATGGGAGGGGAACTTTGGTCAAGGAAGCTTTTTAATGACACAGATCAAGAATAGATCTCAGACAAGAGCAGAGTCAAGCTGAGGATGGCCTTGATGGGTGGCAGAGGGGAAGATGAATAGAAAATCTTGAAAATTTCCACACCAACGTAAATGGAAAGTGAAACATAGGTTCTCGCCTCTCTTTAAGAGCAGGAACCCATCTGTTCGGATCAGTGAGACTGAAATTCAGAGCAAGAAACAAGTTTCTTTAGCTGTAGTTAGTACAGGCTTTCTGTGACACATCAGAAACAACACGGCATGCCCTGGGGTCGAGGCAAGTAATGTGTTACCTTTTAGAAAGTGGAATTCTGTCCTGTGGATAAAGAAATAGATTTATAGTTAAATCCTCCTTAACTTCATGCTTTTTTAAGATAGAAATTACTCATTCAAGGCACAAAGTGAGTGAAAAAAGACGCCCCTCCTCCATGCCCCCTCACACTAGCCTGGGTTCTCTCCATCCTGTTCTTAGAACTGTCTCTTTGGTATAGCAACCAATGTGTTTTTCCAGGCTAGATTTTATATCACTTTACTGCTAGAAAGAAGAAACAGGTATCGATCTTATTTTTTAATAGCTGTCGGTGATATGTACACTGCAATTCAACCATAGTAGCTGACAGGATTAGTTGACTCAGAGAAGGAATTGTCTTCCTGTTGGAAGGATCTCTGTGAGCAATCAGTGTAACCCAAAGTACAGCCCTGCTTCCATGGGAGGACACAGACACAACAACAATGGCTGGGAAATTTGTTGTTCTCTAGTTAGCCCTCAATTAAAAATTTTTTTAACGTTTATTTTTGAGAGAGAGAGAGCGCGCATGCACAAGAGGGGGAGGGGCAGAGAGAGAGGGAGACACAGAATGCAAAGCAGGCTCCAGGCTCTGAGTTGTCAGCACAGAGCCCCATGCGGGACTCAAACTCACAAGCCTTGAGATCATGACCTGAGCCAAAGTTGGCCCCTTAACCAACTGAGCCACTGAGGCACCCCTAGTCAGCCCTCAATTTTAAATGTCATGAAAGATTAAAAACATCAAAAAGTGAAATCCATAAATAATTCAAAACCCCCCTTCCAGAATGCCTACTTATGTCTTCTAATAATCATATGAGCTGATCGACCCACTTGCCTTTTTTACTGTAATCATAAGTGAACAGAGAAAAAAAAAGTCAGGGGACGAAATTTCTCTCCCTGTACTTACCCCCTGCCCCACCACCCACAAAATAGTAAAAAGCAGAAGGAAGAAAGTCATTGGACTGAACTAATAGTTGAGCTGGGCTTTTCGATGGTCTGGAAGTAGAAATAAATATGTGCATAGCTTTTGTTAAAATTAGAATACCATTAGTGTTCTCCTTTCTTCAATTTCTTTACGTATGTCCTCCTTTGCATTTCCCAGTTATCCAGCATTAAACCTTCCAGAAGTCAGATTACATAAAACCAGACATCAGAGCTAATATACTTGATCATTTCAGAAAAGGCCATCAGTTATTCTTAGTGAAGTGTCTGCTTGTTTCCTGAGACTCAATTTATACTCAGAATAGCCTGAATGACAAATCCTATAATTTCCCCAAGTTTTCCCTCATTGTAGTAAATTAATTTTCAGTCATAATAACTACTCCTACTTAATTATTTTGTTTGACATTAGTAAAATGGAGAGAATGGACACCTCTGCTTTTGATCAGCCTCTTGACTATGCTACCGTGAATTGACAGAATATTCGTTATATAATGGAGAAGGTCCTGAATGGGAGCATTGGAAATATTTGAGTCATGGTACAGAACACAGTACCTTTTTCTCTGTTTCAGACTGATTAGAAAAATCATAAAATAAGTTCAGGTTATTTATATACACTCAGTAATGTATTTAAAATATTTTTAATTATTAAAAAATTTCTATATGAGAGAAGACTGTAAGACCCATATTTGCTCAAAGGCTAATCTACTTCTGACATCTAAAAAATATATTTGTAATTGTAAAATAACATATATAAATGAAAACTTCCAAACCTAGATATTAAAAAAAGGAAGAAGTGGAGCACCCCAGTGGCACAGTGGGTTAAGAGTCTCACTCTTGATTTTGACTCAGGTCATGATCTCACAGTTCGTGAGTTTGAGCCCCGTGTTGGGCTCTGCACTGCCAGTGGTTGGAATTTTCTGTCTTCTTCTCTCTCTGCCCCTCCCCTGCTCACACGCTCTCTCCTTCTCTCTCTGTCAAAGTAAATAAACATTTTAAAAAATTGAAAAATAAAAATAAAAAAGTAAGAAATGAAAATCTCACCCAACTAGGGTGGGTTTTAGGGATAGAATTAGAGTGAGGAAGGTTCACTTCATACATGATTTGGTTGCTTTCATACCTCTATCCATATGGCTTCTGGTGTACAGAGGGCTCTGAGGATGGGGTGTGAGGATTATTAACACAGGATCCATTACATCAAAATCCATGACTGCTACAAACTCAGGAGTTTTTATGACTACCTGAGAACTTAGCCCAAACTATTAAAAGTTCACAAATTTCAGCATCATAATGAGTATGCTAAATTTATTGGCTTATTCTAAATTCTGTCTTATTTGGATATCCGCTACATTTTTTAGCCATATATGAGTGCACTGGCTTCAAGCATCGCTAGCTATGCTTCACCATAAGAAATCTTAATGTATAAAACAACTCAATTTGGAAAATCTCACTTAAGGACTAATTCTTCTCTTTATAAAAGAATTTATCGGGGCGCCTGGGTGGCGCAGTCGGTTAAGCGTCCGACTTCAGCCAGGTCACGATCTCGCGGTCCGTGAGTTCGAGCCCCGCGTCAGGCTCTGGGCTGATGGCTCGGAGCCTGGAGCCTGTTTCCGATTCTGTGTCTCCCTCTCTCTCTGCCCCTCCCCCGTTCATGCTCAGTCTCCCTCTGTCCCAAAAATAAATAAAAACGTTGAAGAAAAAAAAAAATTTATAAAAGAATTTATCGTGGAGTTTGTTTACATCAATAGTTCTTTGTGTGTTTAAAATATGATTCAATGAACAAAAGTTTGAATTCCACATCACTTTCCAAAAGTATTTTCATTACGTATTTTGAGACCCTTAGTACTATATCCAGTAGATAAGTAGTCAATAAATGATCCAGCTCCATAATTATGCCAAATGAGGTTCATTTGCATATTATATGTAGTAATTAAAAAGTACTTCTGAATCTTTTAGAGACAATGATCTCAAATATGAATGTGAATAAGAGCCATCTGGGGTACTTACTAAAACTGTAAATCCTTGATCCCCACCCAAAAATAATCAGATTCTGTAGTTCTGCAGTACAGCCAGCAATGTACGTTATTAATACGTAGCCTGGATGATGATCATGCACAGTCAGCTGGATATTAACACAGTGTCTGTGATAGTCAGGTGATAGCAAATGCTGTAACTACTAAAAACCCCAATGACCTTTATGAGTATTTGAGAACTTAAGATGGCTTGTTAAAATAAATGTCAAAAGGGACAGAAGTGGGAACTTTAAATCAGTTGAATCATAACAACTGGCTACTTTGACTTGGGGTAGAGAAAAGAGCAGCTGAGGTTTCCCCTGGCAACGAGGAGAAGGAACCACCTGCAGAGAGGAGGCAAGTACACCCTGGGATCTCACGTAGAGGCGGGCTAATTTGGGGAAATGGCAGTTGACTCTTTTTCCACTGCCATTTCAGAGATCAAAGGCCAGCAATGTTGGAAGAAAACATATGGTTTGGTTCTGTTACTTCTGTCCCTAAGCATTAGGCTCCCCTGAGACTCTAGCCCCCCTCCCCCCCGCCCTTTTTTTAATCCACCTCTCTAATCCTTCAACTAAAATGAAGGGTATTTCTCTGTCCCCAACAGGAAAATGTCAGTAGGAAGGAAAGAAAGGTTGCCTTACTACTCCCCAACCCCTTGCTAATTAGACTCACTATGAAGTTTCATGGAAAAAGTTGGGAGAAACTCCCTTAAGAAGGGGGAGCCTTGCTTCCTATTCCTATCATTAATATCTTTTCTTCCTGCCCAGTGCCCCACTACTCCTTTCTGTGTGACACAGGGGTTCTCAGTAACCCTCCCCAGGCGTCTGCTGGTGCTGACTGTGGACCAAGTAGAACACTCCCTTCCCCATCATCAGGGCCTTGAGGACACCTAAGACCAGAGCTGGTTCTGAGTTCAAAAGCCCACTTAAGCCTGTTGATAAAAGACAGATGACATTGTCATCTCAGCCTGGGGAGACATCACAGTTGCAGAGATGTAATTCCTTACCCTACCAAGCTATGTGTTCATAACTTGAAGATACCATTAATGGAGATCAGGTGTTTTGAAGTTCACTATAGTTTAGAAATGCAAGTTAATCTCAAGCCTACTCAAGACAAAATCGAAGTAAATTCTGTTATCTGGCATTCCCTTTACCGAAAGCTTCCCTTAAACGGCATTTCCACACAGCAAAGTGTGATAACAAATGATACTGTAAAGGATGAGTGCGAAAAGCACTTCAATATCTTGAAATACCTTGTGAATCATTTTCCAAAAAATTAAATCATGGTTTCATTTTGAAGTTAAATAGGCTTTACCCTAGTCGAGTTCATTGGAATATGGCTGGCTAAGTATGGTAAACATAAGTAACCGTGCAATGGAGTGTTAAATCAAAATGTTGTGTTCTTCAGATGATGGGTATTTAGCTATATGTGGACCTCTCACCAATATATATATCACATATATATCATATATCACACACACATATATCATCACTTTAGTTGCCAACTTTCTAAATAGTCTCTAAGGAGATATTTTACTCCTATTTATAATGAATATGCTATAAGTACTTTTTAAGGCTTTGGACCTATTTCCTAATTTCAATGACAAATTCCACAGAAGAAACTTCACTTAGATTAAGCTCTTTTACTTACCAATCCATCTTTGTCATAGGGTGAATCAAAGTTATCCAGAAACTTCCTGAATACTTGTTCTTCGGTCCATTCTCCATTTTGGTACTTAGGATGGTGTTTCACATTATACACTTCACGAAGATCTTCAATCGTTATAACTCCATCTCCGGTCTTGTCTAACTTCCTAAAAGCTTGCATAATTACCTCTTTCCTGGCTCTAGACATTGGAGGCTAGATAAATAGAAAAAAAAAAAAAACACAAACACAGACAACACAAGCAAATGAGCTTTTTTTTATAAGATATATGATGAAATATCTGATTCCTCTCAGTAGTATGAAATTGTGTGCTGTTAAATGACATGCATTATGGTTACTCCAAAAAGTCCCTAAACCTGTTATCAATCTCCTTCCCATCTCCTCCACAGCACAGTAACAACTTCTGAAAACAAAACCTCAAAATAACCAACCCAAACCACGTGAAAGCCAAACTCAGAAGATACACTGATTCATGAGGCCACTTACTCTTAATGTGAGAAGAAATTCATTGAAGTCTATTGTTCCATTTCCATCTTTATCAAACCTCCGGAAGAGCTCTTCTGCCTCTTCCTTTTCCATGACCACAGCATAATCATTTAGTCCTTTCAAAAATTCTTTGAAATCAAGGGTCCGGTTGTTATTGTCATCCATAATTCGAAACACTCTGAAGAAAATGCACACACACATACACACACACACACACACACACAGGAAAGAAAAGAACATAGAATAAGATGTAAGCACAAAGATTTAAAAATAAACCACTCTCAACGTTATTCAAAGTAAAATACAGAAGCCCTAGATTCTTGTCTGTACTCTCCTTCCAAAATTGGAGAGCATCTTCCCAGAATCTCATAAAAGGAAAACCTTAAAAGAAAATGTACTATGTGATTCTAATTCTATGACATTCTGCAAAAGGCAAAACTATACATAGAATGAAAAGAAAAAGGAAGGAAGGAAGAGAATAGGTGGAGCAACAGGGAATTTTTAGGACAGTGAAACTATTCTCTATGATGGTGGATACATGATATACTTGCTAAAGCCCAAACTATAATGGTGGATACATGATATACTTGCTAAAGCCCATAGAACTGTAGACTACAAAGAATAAAATTTAATGTATACAAATTTTAAAATAACTATTTAGGAGGTCAGGGGATCCCAGGAAGGAATGCACAGTGACAAGAGAACTCAACTGTATTACAAAAGTTTGAAACAACCTCACTGAAAGGGGGTGGGGGGGAGCCATGGAGTATGAAGGTGCTGACTTAAGTAGCTGTGGAGATGGGAGTCTGTAGGACTAAAGGCAAAAGGAACTGCACATAAGCACTGGACTCTAGTTGATAATAATATTTCCCATGGAGATTTGAGTTAACAATTCTGACATTGCTATAAGGTATACTGGAATTGAACAATTAAGTAAATAGGTGGCAGATGGTGGGAGCCAGATTTATCACTGTTGAAATGGGAATTTATAGATAAGCCAGGGGAGGAGGCTAAATGGTCGGATGTATGTGGTAATGGGCTAGAGTTGGAGACATTAGTATGAACTCATGCTTAGCTTAATATAAACACAGATGATTACATATAAAGATATCTATAGATTGTACATATATTTACACATATACTTTCTTCTTCTGTCAGCTAAGAGAACCTAGAAGTAATACACCAGTAACAACAAGTACATCTAGAGCCTAGATCTTGATTTCTAATGCAATTATCCAATAAAAAGAATCGGGCTTCTTGGAGAAATGTCTGATTCTAGGACTGGGACACGAAATACTCAAGATGAACTTGGAGTATCTTGTACAGAAAGTAAGGAAGCACTCAAAACAAACAAACAAATAAAAAAACTTAACAATGATGGGGATATGTCAAAGGGACATAGGAGCCAACTGAAAGAGCTTCTAAAGCTCAATTTTCTAGAGTTTGAGCAATAAGATAGTGTTAAACTGTAACACAAAGTATAAAATAAATATCCATGAGTCCATATGGGTTTAAATAAATGATTAAATAAATAAATAAA